ATGGCTCCACGGTCAACACTCTTGGCACCAGCAGCCAGGAAATCAAAAGACTTATCACGATGGGAAAGTCTGCTATTAGGGACCTCTCCAAAGTACTCAAGAGCAACAGTGTCTCTCTGGAGACTAAGGTGCGCCTGATACAGGCCATGGTCTTTGCAATCACTTGGTATGCATCAGAGAGTTGGACAATGACTAGGGAAGATAGAAGGAAAATTGATGCCTTTGAGCTGTGGTGCTGGAGAAAAGTATTGAAGGTACCCTGGAATACCAAGAAAACAAACAGATTCATCCTAGAGAGGGTTAAACCAGGCTACTGCTTGGAGGCAAGGATTCTGGGGCTTTGTCTGACAAACTTTGGACATGTTGTAAGGAGATACAGGTCCTTGGAGAGGGACATCATGCTTGGGAGGGTGGAGGGACAGTGCAGGAGGGGAAGACCCTCTATGAGGTGGATTGATTCAGTAACTGGGGTAATCGGGATGGGTCTGTCAGAGGCCATGCGATTGGCACAGGATAGAGCAGGGTTTAGGGCTGTTGTACCTAGGGTCGCTATGAGTCACAAATGACTTGACAGCACATAACAACAACAACAACAACAACTATAATCTCTCAGTATTGTAATCTGAGTCTTAAATTTATTTTTTTCAGTTCTTTCAGCTTGTGAAATGACAAGCAAATTCTTCTCTTTATTCTCTAAATGCAGCTCTCTGCACATTCTGTTGTACTACTTTACTTTATCTTCTTGAACTACCATTTGAAATCTTCTATTCAAAAACAACTATGAGATATCATCTCACCCCAGTAAGAATAGCAAAATTTAACCAAAGAGCAAACAACAAATGCTGGAAAGGTTGTGAAGAAATTGGAACGCTTATTCACTGTTGGTGGAAGTGTAAAATGGTGCAACTGCTTTGGAAGGCGGTGTGGTGCTTTCTCAAAAAGTTGCAAATAGAGAAACCATTCGATCCAGCAATTCCACTACTGGGAATATACCCCAAAGAGACCATAACTGCCACCAGAGCAGATATATGGACACCCATGTTTACCGCTCCTTTGTCCACAATAGCAAGGAGTTGGGAATAACCTTAGTGCCCATCAACAAATGAATGGATAGAGAAGTTGTGGTATATTCACACAATGGACTACTACTCTTCATTGAAAAAGAAGGAACTCATGCAATATTATTCAAGATGGGTGACCCTGGAGGACATTATACTGAGTGAAATATCTCTGTCACACAGGGACAAACTGCATAGTGCCACTGTTCTAAAACAGGACTGATATAGGGGTTGAGGGGAGACTGAGAAAGATGGGATAAATAATGTATACTGCATTGAAACAGATGAGGGAGAAAACTTTAAAAGGGATATGTTCTTAGGTATTATTGTCATGACAGGAGTCCAGAACAAAGGCTGCATATTGGAGTGGACCTTAGGGGAGGGGTTGTAAAACAATGAAAGAATTTTTCTTTTACTTTTCAAAGAGAAGAGTGTACTGGAGTGGGGAGGGGTGGCCAGGGAGAAAAGTACATCAATGAATGAATTAATGGAAATCCAAGTCTCTGTAAATTTAAAATTAATAAAAAAGAAAGAAAGAAATCTTCTGTTCAGCTCTTTCATTTCCGTGTCTTTTTTTCTTTGTTTGATTTATCTATACTCTAGTCTAGTTTCTGACATCCACTTTTGTTTTTATTTCTCCTGTCTTTGTAATGACAGAGACATGGATCTTCATGGATGATTTCCTTGATGTCATTCCACAACTCATCTGGTCTATTGGTGTTCAATGCCTCAAATCTATGCTTATGGTTTTAAATGCCAATGGCGTAGACTCAAGGTTGTGGTTTTGGGTTTTGTGGATTTGTTTTTATTTTCACCCTGAGTCAAGGACTCCATGACAATATGCCTAAAGTATGTGTGATGGAGTTTCAAAACCCTTTCCTCATATGATGACTCTGAACTTGAAGATGTATCTTTTTATTTAGAAAGATCTCACTACTTTACTTCATGGGGAATTGAGACATTTACCTGTGGAAAACAATACTGGGAGATAGAGGTGAAGGAGTCTTTGGACTGGGCTGTAGGAGTGTGTAAGGATACTAAGTTAAGGGGAAACTGCCCAGTGATTACATCTGTAGATACATTTCTTCTTTCATTTGTAGAGGAGGATGATAGATACAATCTCTTGACCACCTTCCCAGTTCTTTATCCCTATATAGAGAAAGCTCTGAAAAGGATTGGTGTGTATGTTCATTTTGACAGTGGCAGTGTGAGCTTTGTTAATGTTGACAAAAGTTCCCTCATATGGAGTTACCGAGCTTATTCCTTTAATTATCCACTCAAGCTATTCTTTTGCACTGGCCACACAATATCTTAGCATAGGAGAGAAGATAGGAATTCCACATCTGAGGAAGTCTTTCTCAAGGGAAGTTAATTAATCACACTTTTCTACCTATTCAATTGTTTCCCTTTAATGTAGCATCATTCTCACACCATTCAATATAAATAAAGTATGTTGTTGTTATGTGCCATCGAGTCATTTGTGACTCATAGCTACCCTATGTACAAGAGACCTAAATAAATACAAAGGGGGGAAAATCCTTGCCTCTAAGGAGTAACCTAGTTTCACCTTCTTCAGGACAAACTTGTTTATTCTCTTTGTAGTCCATGGTATGTTTACTACTCTTATCTAGCAGCACAGCGCAAAGGTATTGATTTTTCTTCTGTCATTGTTATTCATTGTCCAGCTCTCAGTTGCATAGTAAGCAAATGAGAAGACCATGGCTTGTGTCAGGTGTGCCTTAGTCTTTAAACTGATGTTGTTGCTCTTTAGCACTCTGGAGAAATCTTGACAGCAGGTTTTCCCAATGCAATTATTTTTTTTTAATTCTTGAATGCTGGTGCCAAGAGTGTTTTGATTGTGAATCCAAGCAAGATGAATCTAGACTGTCTGTATTCATCCCATTGACTGAACCTCAACAAATTGATGCTTCCCCACACTACCTCGTTGGCTAATCATTTATTCACTCTTTCAACAAATGTTCTCTTATGAAGTTCACCTTCCTTCTCCTTATGTCCTTTTTGCTTCACATTCGACCATAGATGGACTGTGCACCTCACTAAGATCATGGGTTTTTATCACCTGAAGCCAGATCCTCTGATGTATTCATATCTGTCTCCTCTTTAGTACAACTCAGGAGAGAGGGGAAGAGATGGTGTAAAGAAACTGGAAGAAGGCCAGGGAAGAATAAAGTTGCTCCCCAGACTCTCTCGCTTTCAATTTCCCTGACCTCTTTTTGCCCACTCACAAAACACTAGCACCTTCTCTTAACCCTCCCTTCCTTAATCTCTCTCTCCCATCCACCTTAGGAAGGAGCAGCTGGCAAGGTTTTGTTCGCATTTTATTTATTTCCTCATTTCATTCTTTTTTTCTTCAACTTTCTGTGACTCTGAGGGAGTTTCACAACAAAGAGGGCAGACTAACTTAGTAAAAAGAAATCAAGCCAAAAGGCTATAATTCAGGTTGGCAGCAGGTTACAATCATTCAGGACAGCTTCTAAAATGTGCTTGCAGGCACCTCAGCCTTCAGCCTTGTGGCTTTAAGTGACTATTACAAAACTCTTGTTTTTTTGCCAACAAAACTCTTAGTCCTACCAATTATGGCATCTCCTCCTGGTCCCCTGACCTCAAACAAACTTGGGTGAAGGCTCTGATTCCATGGAGTAGCAGTCCCAAGGTCAACTCTGCCTTATGTCAGGTCTCTGGTTCTTTGCTGTGGCTGCTACTCCTGTAGGCCCTTGCCTGGCTGGTGCAAGGAATCTTTGGCCTTGAAGGACTTGCACTCTCCATTCTCTGCTGCTTTTTACCTTGTGGTGAGACTCTCAATTTCTGTTCCCGAGACTACTCAATTTAATGACACGGCTAGCCAATATCCTTGTGAATAGTCCAACACACTCTATTCCCCACCCACCCATGTAGCAAAGTCAAACTTTTAATAGCTAGGAAAGCCATAATCATGGAGGGGAAAACAAAATAACAACCAAACCTAATCAGATACATTTATATCTCTAACATCAATTTGTTATGATTATTTAAGTGAAAGTTCACTTAATTAAGTTATGATATACTTTTTAAAATTTTCATTGTATATTGGGTGAGAATTTCAATAAAGCGGCATTTCTATGAACCTTATAAAAAAAAAAGGAACCAAGTAGTCAGCTTATTTTTTTTGCTCTCGAATTCATTCTCTTCACCTGGAAAACAAACAGGTTGGATCAAGCAATTGACAAAGACTCTTCTGTACCATTAATAATACCTGGCACTTGTCTACTGGGTTTCAAAGGGTTTAATCATCAAAACATGTCTGTGAGAATTGGCCTCATAATACCAATGGTATTATGCAGCTCAGAAGTGAAGTGACTTGCCTGAGTCACAGGGATGCCAAGTGGCAGAACCAACACAATATCTGAGCTGTGGTCTCTATGTGTTTAAAGCTCAGACTTTTCCCTTGTCAACAGTTTCAGGCTGCCTCTCAGGCTACTCAGAGTAAAGCCATACCCATGGTTGTGATTCATTAGGCTCCACTTAGTTGGTTCTGGTGACCTAGTGGCAAGAAGCTGCACTGCAATCCTGAAGGCATGTCGTTCAAATCCACCAGCTACTTTGTGGGGAAAGGATGGGCAATTTTCTCCTGTGCAATTAACTGCCTCTGAAAACCTACCAGAGGGTCAGCTATTGGTCATTTCCAACTCTATGGTACACAACAAAAACAACTGGCCATTCTTCCCTTACTCCATCCCAGTCACATTGACCCTCTCTGTTCTCCAACATGCTAGGTACTTTACCATCTCACCACCTTTGCACTTATTTTTCTCTTTGCATGAAATACCCTTGCCTTAGTTTTTATTATGTGTATCAGGCTCCAATCCCCTGTATAGGGGACAGGGAGAAGAATAATAGAGAAGATATGCTGACTGTCTTTCCTCCCCTCTGTTTTCCTTTCAGGTCTGATGATGAGAATTCCAGAACCGTCAGGTTAGCACCTCCTTTCTTTAGTAATAGTTGGGAGATGGGGTGGGAGTGGGGTCCTAGTTTGTTACTTCAGGATTCATGGACAAGGTGTGGGGATCAACTCAAGAGGGATTCTTCTTATTGGCACCAGGGATGAGTATTAAGTGAACAGAGAAGGCAATGAGAAAATATGGTTGATGTGAGAAAGAGGTTGAAGACTTCCTCCATCTGTTTGACCCTTGGAAACTTGGATGAACACTGTAATTATTCCTAGAAGGTGGCTAGATGTAAGACTCAGCCTCTAAAGAGATCGATCAGTTCTGGACTTTCCCCCACATCCTCCTCCTAGGAAAAGAGGGCATAGTAAACACTGGGCTTCCCTGGCTCAAAGTTTGCCTTTCACCCTGAACTGTGCAAGTCCTAATGAGTGGGGTTTAGATGGCATTTTGATGTGGCACATTCTTAATACTAGAAATACACATTATGATAACAAGTAAAAAAATTTATTCATGGTAAAAATGTTTACAAGCTTCAATAAATCTTAAGAGTGTGATCATTCTGCCACTTGGGGCCACAGAAGCAAAACTAGGGTAGTAATGAAGTATTTGTATATTTCCCAGGAACTTAACCAATCAGAAGCTTCAGAAAGACAAAGTGTCAAGCACAGGGACTCTCTGATAATGATGGGAGGTCAGGATAGGGACAAATCAGTCTAAGCTTTCACTCAAAGGAATATGAGGTGGGCTTATGAGGTGAGTCCAAAGATCCCGGAAGCAGGGGCATCGGATTAGTACAGTTAGTACTAGATGTTCCTTTGAAGGACAATTCCTGTGGCTGGGTTATTTGGAAAAACATCCTCTTTATTTTGCTGAAGCTCCTAACAAGAGTTCCCAACTTTGTGAGCATAGCACAAATTGAAGAGAAGGCTCTTACTCATGCCTTCTTGGCTGTGAACACTTTGCAAAGCACAGCTTGTCCAATCATATGCAGCAGCCCAGGTCATATCATCCAGGATACTGGACTTTGAAAAAAGAACAACCAGAAACTAAACAACCTAACCCACTGCCATACAAATAGCTTTGTTATTGTTGTTTTTGTTATGTGCCATCGAGTCGTTTGCGACTCATAGCGACAACAGCCCTAAACCCTGCTCTATCCTGCGCCAACCGCACCGCCTCTGACACACCCATCCCGATTACCCCAGTCACCGAATCAATCCATCTCATAG